TTTGTGAAGAGTTATCCCCCTTTGTTTACTTGCTAGCAGACGACATTTTCCGTGATCCTCAGTATGGATGATTTAGAGAAGAGGAAGTTGATTTTAGAATATTATAACAAGGACGTCAGATCAGCTAAAGCGATTTCAAGTAGAACAGGCATCCCTTTGTCCACTGTTTATCGTGTTTTGAAAAATAATGCAAATGGATGTGGCATTGAGCACCAGGGAGGCGCAGGTAGGCCCAGAAAATTGACTGTCGGTGATAGGAGGCGGCTTGGTATTCTTGTTTCTAAAAACAAACGAAGGAGTTTAGAAAACTTAAGGCTGGATATGATTGATAGAGGAACTGTGTCTGTCTGTAAGGAGACAATTAGAACTGAGCTGCATGCAATGGGTTGGCAGAAAAGGCGAGGAATTCCATCACCGATCATGAAACCTGATCAAAAGGAGCAAAGGTTGAACTGGTGCTTACAGCAGAAATTTAAACTGGGACAATGTGATTTTCTCAGATGAAAGTTCTGTGTGGCTGTTTCCTAATACACTGAAATTCTGGACCAAACAAACTGAAAAACCTTTGTATCAGCGCCCAAAGTACAGTCGGAAATTTAACGTGTGGGGAGGCATATCTGTGTTAGGGGCAACGCCCCTCTGTGTATTTGAAGGGAATATGAACAGTGAGCGGTACACAGATATTCTCGAGGGACAGTTACTGCCATTTGCTCACGTGTTCTATGGAAATTGTTTGATGTTCCAGCAGGACAACGACCCAAAACATCGTTCAAAGCATTCACAGGCCTGGTTTCGGACCCAAAATATGAAGGAAAGTGACTTATGAAGGAAAGTGTCAATAAGAAAAATCTGACACATATTGCTGAAATGAAAGAAGAGGTGGTCCGATATTGGGACAGCATGGACCACGACTTTCTAACTTCTTTGATCAGTAGTATGCCCCGCCGCATTGAACCTGCATTGCTGCCCATGGTGACTTGACAAAATACTAACTGTTCACCTGTCTTTGAATCTGGAGTTATGTTCTGCTAATATTCATATTAATACGTGAGACATGAGTGAAAAAAGCAAAAAACATTACAATCTTTAAATTCTCAATAATTTCTGGTTGTACTGTATATTCATGACTGAAATGTTTCTGTTCGAGTGTATCTATTCTGGGTGTGTGTTAACAGTTTCATCCTTGGCAGGTTAAAGTTGCCGGAAGTAACTTTAGTTTGTGATAGTCCTCTAATGCACAATGTGGATCCCTAAGATGCTGCATGCAACGTGTTACAATAGGTGTACCCTTGTGCCTTTTCCTCATGGTACGAGACAGGTCTCAGGGCGAGAAATCCAGGCGGGTCTTCTCTCACATCGATGTGTTAGATACATTTTGATTCGTTGTTGCCTTTAACCACAGACGCCTATCCGAGAATATATAATATTTATGCTGCATGAGGAAAGGTGTAGGAAACAGAGCAGCCTGGCGAATGGCAATACGCAAAGGATATTTATAATGACTCACTGGCTAAGAAACCAAGCGATGTTTGAAGTCAGCAGAACGACGTTTTGAGGGTTCCTGAAACAACGTCTAAACACTCAACACTCAGAAAAACGGAACACTGTTCAATACACATCTGTGTGACGCAGGGGCCTATTGGATACTGTCAGTATTTACATCAAGGCAATGTAAAACTCTTCTCTTAACTACATAACGGGTGGGTGGTTTATGGGAGTTGTAGAGGGAGGCGTATACATTAGTTAACGGGTGAGTGGTCTGTGGGAGTTGTTGAGGGAGGTGTATACATTAGTTAACGGGTGGGTGGTCTATAGAAGTTGTAGAGGGAGGCGTATACATTAGTTAACGGGTGAGAGGTCTATGGAAGTTGTAGAGGGAGGTGTATATATTAGATAACGAGTTGGTGGTTTGTGGCAGTTATTGAGGGAGGTGTATACATTAGATAACGAGTTGGTGGTCTGTGGGAGTTATTGAGGGAGGTGTATACATTAGATAACGAGTTGGTGGTCTGTGGGAGTTATTGAGGGAGGTGTATACATTAGATAACGGGTGAGTGGTCTGTGGGAGTTATTGAGGGAGGTGTATACATTAGTTAACGGGTGGGAGTTATTGGTGGAGGTGTATACATTAGGTAAGGGGTGGGAGGTTTGTGGGAGACGTTGAGGGAGGTGTATACATTAGATAACGGGTGAGTGGTCTGTGGGAGTTATTGAGGGAGGTGTATACATTAGTTAACGGGTGGGTGGTTTGTGGGAGTTATTGAGGGAGGTGTATACATTCGATAACGGGTGGGTGGCTTTTAGGAGTTGTTGAGGGAGGTGCATACATTAGATAACGGGTGGGCGGTCTACGGGAGTTGTTGAGGGAGACGTATACATTAGATAACGGGAGGGTGGTCTTTGGGTTGTTGAGGGAGGCGTATACATTAGATAAGGCGTGAGTGGTATGTGGGAGTTGTTGAGGGAGGTGTATACATTAGTTAACGGGTGGGTGGTTTGTGGGAGTTGTTGAGGGAGGTGTATACATTAGTTAACGGGTGGGTGGTCTGTGGGAGTTGTTGAGGGAGGTGTAAACATAAGTTAACGGGTGGGTGGTTTGTGGGAGTTGTTGAGGGAGGTGTATACATTAGTTAACGGGTGGGTGGTCTATAGAAGTTGTAGAGGGAGGCGTATACATTAGTTAACGGGTGAGTGGTCTGTGGGAGTTGTTGAGGGAGGTGTATACATTAGTTAACGGGTGGGTGGTCTATAGAAGTTGTAGAGGGAGGCGTATACATTAGTTAACGGGTGAGAGGTCTATGGAAGTTGTAGAGGGAGGTGTATATATTAGATAACGAGTTGGTGGTTTGTGGCAGTTATTGAGGGAGGTGTATACATTAGATAACGAGTTGGTGGTCTGTGGGAGTTATTGAGGGAGGTGTATACATTAGATAACGAGTTGGTGGTCTGTGGGAGTTATTGAGGGAGGTGTATACATTAGATAACGGGTGAGTGGTCTGTGGGAGTTATTGAGGGAGGTGTATACATTAGTTAACGGGTGGGAGTTATTGGTGGAGGTGTATACATTAGATAAGGGGTGGGAGGTTTGTGGGAGACGTTGAGGGAGGTGTATACATTAGATAACGGGTGAGTGGTCGGTGGGAGTTGTTGAAGGAGGTGTATACATTAGTTAACGGGTGGGTGGTCTGTAGGAGGTGAAGAGACGTGTACTTCACTTACTTGGTGGGTGGTCTGCGGGAGTTGATCCTCGCTACTTTGTGAAAGGTTTTGAAGTGTACTTCAGTAACAGGCGAGTTGGTGGTTGGGAGATTGTTGAAAGATGAGTTTACTCTGTTGAAGGGTCGGTTGGTCTGTCTTATGTGTTGAAAGGGGAGTTTACTACAGTTGACAGGTTGGTGAAGTATCTGGATTAATAGGGAATGCAAATTCTGCAATTAATGGAGGGGTGGACCTTTGGAGTTGCTGCAGTTATTGTCGGGTATTTTTCTCAAGTCGTTGAAGTAAGACTGGACTTAAATATACGGGTAAGTGTTGTTGAAGTTGGCGTGTATTTCAGTTATGGTGATCTGTGTAAAGCAGTTTGTGTTAGTGTCGGAGTTCAAATGTTGTCTGTCTGAAGTTGTTATAGTGCCGAGCTTAAGTGAAGGATTGGTTCAAGGAAACTGAACTAGGACAGGCATCGAGTCCGGCTATCCGTTCAAAATCTACATTATGTACATATGGGTGAATGTTTAAAGGAAGAACTAACATTCGCCGTCAACGGCCTGTTAACAGCTTTTGAACATCACAACATCAATGGCAATTGTTTTAATGGAGTCTTTAACGGGTTGTCCGACTATTGTTATCTACAGAAGTGGGTACTCTACATACAAAGTGCTGGCAAATTACACCGCTGGAGTTGCCTTGTGATGTGGTCTTAGAATTTTATAATTTATATTTTGAACAGCTATACACTGCACTACCGGAAAAACAAAATCCGACATTGCCTTTGAATTTGTTTTATGTCTTATGTCAATGTGTTGACGAACTAAATTTGGAATTTGAAGACACGAAAACAATCACAGTGAATTGCGTAGTAGTATTTTGTTAACGATAACGTATTATTAATGATCAGTTACAGATAAAAAAAATCACTTATATAATAGGTGCATTACCGATGCTGCATCAAGTTGAAATAACAATAGTGTATCTACTTTAGTAGCAGTGAAATATTGTGGTGTGTTTAAACTACTCTGACAAGTCTGGAAGAAATATCCATATTTTCCAACTCTTATTGATTCGCTTAAGTAACAGTTTTGCAAAGTCGCAATGTAAAAGCCTCACTTGATGCATGACGCTACCAATAGGAAATGAAGGATTGGAACGGACAGGAGTCTGTCTCTTCGCAAACATTGTTCCTGTTCGTAGATTAACGGAAATCATGAAGATCAACATTGAGATGGAAACATTCATCTTATATCCCCCACTGACATACACCGTTCAACGTTTACCACGTGAGGAGCGTTGACGTCAACTTTAACGTGGTCACCCATGCGTCTCGGATCGACGTCGGCAGAGTATTACAATCATAATGACAGCTATGCACTCGTCGGAAGCGATGTGAAATGACGCATTGAAAACGGATACGATTTGGTCCAAGAAGCTAACACGGCAACGCCATGGATATGTAACATTTGATAGTGGTATTGGTTGATGCATCACACGCTGGAGAACGGATTATATTCTGTTTACACATTTCTACTTAAACTAAGAATGAGACCATGCGTCTAGTTATATTTAGCATCAAAGTTGCTTCAGTGTAAACAAAACGATTTAAGACTGTTTGGAAAATTGAAACAATAATATCGAGTTGATTTCACCGTCGCAGTTGTGACATTTGTGTTCTGGGAGAAGGCAATATAAAGTTAATCGGGGGATTTCCTGTATGCGCGCGACTATCGACATCCTCCCAGCTACTCCCCCTTCCCCCAGCGTCTCCTTCATCATGTCTAGCCTCGCTCCTGCCTCCCTGGAACAATAGCTGATAATAGATACAACTGGGCGTAGGCTTTACGGTATAAATTGGTATAAATAGCCTGTACTCAATATCCGTGCCCTCTCAGAAGACAGCCGTCATCATCATCAGAAGGTAAGAGGACCCGTCTATGGTTATAACAATCAAATGTCCTTTTCATTCACTATTATGTGAATTCTGTTTGAAGGTTAGGGTATTCAGAAAGTCTTTCATTGTCTTTTGATAACTGAACCATAATCTTTGTTCCCTTAGTTCGTTTACTTTTGAAGTTTCAGTGATATTTAGGTTTTTTATGTTTGTACATGTTTTCTGTTTTTTCCCAAAATGTATTAGCCTACGATTTATGACTTTACGTTGTACTGCTGTAACACTGCTGAAACAAATACATGCTCATGATGACGTCAGAATTATACAACCAATATACAACAAGATATCTTATGGATGTGGACAGGGTTTTGTCGCTTCTATTCCATTAGGTAATTTCATATTTTCTCTGATGTCTCTTTTTTTCTATAAATGCTATGAATGTAAATGAGTCGTGCAGTTGCGGCGATGTGTTAAGGGAAATGAAGATTTTCAACTCAACTTCTACAGCGTCGTGAAATCTCCCCTGTGTCTCACTGCGTGTACGTATCTGGCCTAAGGTCGGTGTAACACTGATATACCATACTACAGTTTAACATGGATACCCTAATATAGACACAGAATACTGGCGCCCAGGCGAACAGTTCTTGCTTTATCCTCTTAAACAGGCGCAAAGCTACGTAACGCCTAGTACCATCTTGTAAGGGCCTCCAAAGGGACATTTAACTGTTTGAAGATGTAGTCATCTCTCCTGTCACACAGTTTGGGCAGATCGTTGTCACTCTGATCGATATGCATAGATCTAAGTATGAAACAGTAGTGTCGGTGGCACTGGTGTCGCATGTACCTAGTCAGGATCAGTAAATCAGTTGAAAGGAATGGGCTATTTGACCATTATTGAACTGTATCAGATAATCGATATACCTGAAGTCGAAGTTAAACTTGAACTAAGTTACACTACTTGGCAATTAAGTTGCTTGAATTTGGCTTATCCGTGGAAGAATTCTTAACAGCAGTTGTACAGAAACGGATCAACAGTCTGAATGGTATTAATTCCACTTGTCTCAAAACGTTCTGTGAATGTACGAAATGTCTTTTCGATGATGTAAATAGTTAATCTTCGAGATTAGGCTTTAGTGAAACGTTTGCGGGGCACAGGAATATGAATTTGGTTATGGTTATATTTGAAACTTTAGACTAATAAAAGCCTGGTGAATGGACTTGAATTGAACTTCGTGTTTAAGTTCGCTAGGAAGGTCACTGAAGATGCGAGGCATTATATTTAATGTATAGATGACCGATGAACATTCAGTTAACACGTCCAGACGTCCAGTCAGTACCAGGGCCGTCATTGTCCTCACATTGCCACATATATCCGTCATTATCACACTGCTATTCATTTAATCTTAGCTGGCAGCGACCGTCGATTAGCGCCGTATGACGTCAACAAAGTGTTTGATAATGTTCAATATCACGAAAAACACGTACAGTCATATACAATTGAGTGTGAACTCGGTGGCCATATAACGTCCATTTTGTCGTTAACGAAGTCTATTGTCCAACGAAACTTGTCATAATCACATGGTCACGTGGTCTCGTGATATGGATACCATAATAACTAGCAAGTTGGTATATACCTTGAGAAAAATGGAATATCTTCTTCACAGAAATACTATTAGCAGTACGTATAATGGGTTCGTAGTCCCAGTTATTTATCTCTTTATAAAGACGTGGCAGTCGTACCACCGACTTAACTGTCCCTGAAAATTCGTTTGTCCATGGACATACCAACTTTGGCATTCTATTCAGATCAAAATTCTGAGCTTTCTTGTAAAAAGATTCTACACCATCCTAAAGATCTTCGTAGTCAATCAAATACAGGGAAAATATAATATCTTGAAGTTGAATTGAAATGTGAATGAAAATGTGAAAACATCTTCTACGAAAGGCCTTGTTAAAAGGTTGAAGGGATGCGGCCAAGAATCTACGACTCTTAAGATGCCATATTTGTTATGAAGAGTGTGAGAATACTATGACATTAGTTTCGGAAACAAAATCCATCCTGGTTTATTTCCTACATTTGTCAACACGATACCCGTGCACATATTATTTACAGTGTTAAATAAAAATCAGTAAAAGCGATTTCGTGTCACCGGATGGTCTGGTCCAGGCTGTATCACTGGATTGTTTGGTCAGATCACTCTAACACTGGACTGTCATTCCAAGACTTGATTGTTTACATACCGCCGTCACGTGTCAGTGGTGTTGCAGTGCATACATGCAAATCCGGCGACACCAGGCAATACTATACTCTCGACTCTCTAAGGAGCAGATTCTTTCGGCGTTAAAGACAGCTGATTAGTATTGCCTGGTGTTGCCAGTATATGCATGTATGTGGGTAGCCTAGTGGTTAAAGCGTTGGGTCATCACGCCTAACCCCCGGGTCCGATGCCCCACATGGGTACAGTGTGTGAAGCCCATTTCTGGTGCAGTGATATTGTTGGAATACTGCTAAAAACGGCGTAAAACCATACTTACTCACTTAACTTTTTACCCAGAATTAAGCCGCACCCCGTGATATAACTCAAATTAAACTCTAAGCGTTTATAAGTTTGGTTTCATTGTACATTCAAGTTGATGTTAATTTCCCTATGCAGTGATGACTGTCCCACATACAGGCCGAGTTGTACTCGTTGTACAGTTGTACAGTTGTATAGTCGAATCGAGTTGTGTCAGCTTCAAGATGCCGAATTTCCCGACGTCACATTTTCTTTGAAGTTCTTGAAAATCATCTAGAAGTTACAGGAACATGACAGGTTTGATGGATAACAACTTCTTTTTACTCTTTTTACGACGCACGAATTAGCTCTGAAAGCTCGTATTTAGAGTCAAAAGCTGTTATCTAGTATGAAGAGTCAAAAGAAGCTGTTATCTAGTATTTAGAGTCAAAAGCTGTTATCTAGTATGAAGAGTCAAAAGAAGCTGTTATCTAGTATTTAGAGTCAAAAGCTGTTATCTAGTATGAAGAGTCAAAAGAAGCTGTTATCTAGTATTTAGAGTCAAAAGAAGAGTTATCTAGTATGTATGAAGAGTCAAAAGAAGCTGTTATCTAGTATGAAGAGTCAAAAGAAGCTGTTATCTAGTATGAAGAGTCAAAAGAAATCTAGTATCTAGAAGAGTCAAAGAAGCTGCTGAAGAGTCAAAAGAAGCTGCAATCGTCTCAAAAGAAGCTGTTATCTAGTATGAAGAGTCAAAAGAAGCTGTTATCTAGTATGAAGAGTCAAAAGAAGCTGTTATCTAGTATGAAGAGTCAAAAGAAGCTGTTATCTAGTATGAAGAGTCAAAAGAAGCTGTTATCTAGTATGAAGAGTCAAAAGAAGCTGTTATCTAGTATGAAGAGTCAAAAGAAGCTGTTATCTAGTATGAAGAGTCAAAAGAAGCTGTTATCTAGTATGAAGAGTCAAAAGAAGCTGTTATCTAGTATGAAGAGTCAAAAGAAGCTGTTATCTAGTATTGAGAGTCAAAAGAAGCTGTTATCTAGTATGAAGAGTCAAAAGAAGCTGTTATCTAGTATTGAGAGTCAAAAGAAGCTGTTATCTAGTATGGAGAGTCAAAAGAAGCTGTTATCTAGTATGGAGAGTCAAAAGAAGATGTTATCCATAAAACGAGTCCTGCATTCCGTTCTTCTTTGTTTTATCATTTATACTCGGATATGTCGAACTCGGTGTGTCTTATGTCCGGTTATCTCGAACTCAATTTGCAGGCCATATTAAGAATAAAACGATAACCCAAACAGTTCGAACTGAGACTGAGTTATTGAATATATTAGTCGAGTCTATTGTTGTCTACTAGTGAGTGAGTGAGTATGGTTTTACGCCACTTTTAGCAATATTCCAGCAATATCACGGCGGGGGACACAAGAAATAGGCTTCACACATTGTACCCATGTGGGGAATCGAACGCGGGTCTTCGGCGTGACGAGCCAACGCTTTACCCACTCGGATACCCCACCGCCCGGTTGTCTATTACACCTAGTAAGAGTGGATTACCTGTAATAATCTTTGTGTCATTATGTTTTGGGGAAGTTACTTTGTTGATTGTTTCGAATCTCGTATAGTAAGAACCTTTTTCCTGGTACCCACGAAATCGACCAAGCCACATCAATTGAACCGTTAGATGAACCACAAGCCTACTAAGGAATATTGTAACAACCCAATACACTGTGTCTGAAGTGTCATTTCTAGAAATGTGTAAAACTGGTCATAAAAGGTTGTGTACTTTGTTGGGTTTTTTTCATTTTATTTTTTGGGAGACCAATCTCTCTGTCAGGACACAACTGGTCCCTAGTATTCCATGCTTACTGTAAAATCAGGATCGGAATCCTGTCCTGATAGTGCTGATTGTCCTAAATGCCTGGTTCCCCTTAGGATGTATTGCAAGAATTGTTTAGAATATACCCAAAATAAAGGAATTTAATTTTGGTTCAAACGAATATTTATTCGAAACAAATTAATCGTCTTATTTCGCAGAACAAAATGTATGGCTTAAAACCCAAAGTGTAAAAATCCCCATACTTTGCGTTATATATCTGGGGAAGAATTTCTGTTTTTATCCGTTTTAAATATCCACATAAATGTCTAAGATACATTGTCAACGGGACAGTCTCAGATACTTGAACCATAAGAAGCATGGAAACGGTATTTAACATAAACTGCTGTACAAAAGAACGTTCACACCTGGTGCAAGAAAACAAGGTAAATATGTTGAAAAGGGTTTTGATTCCATGTATTCAGAGAGGAAATAAACCCAAATACCAGGTATGTATTTTCCCGGGTTCGTCAGTTTATCTCACTCACTGATTACTAAATAATCGAATTCCTGTTTCTGTATTTCAATGTACGTATAGCATTTGGAAAAAAACACACATGCATAAATCTTTAACAGAAAATAGATAATGAATTGATATAACCATATAAACAATATGTACCAGGCGCTTATTTGTGTAATTCCAATCTCTATAATAGAGAGTAAAGCAGACTGTAAGTTATGTGTTACAAGTACTTGGAGGTCACATATATAATTTTACATCGGATGTGTTACTGTAGAAACAGTTACTGTATCTAGCTGTAGGTGTGAGATTAACCAGACCATGCAAAGGTAATGTGTCACGCGTGGAATGGTCTTCAGCTGATCCGTCACGAATACTGCGAACCCTTGGAATCCAACAGAAAGCTGGTGCCTTGATCGATGTTTTTGCAATCAGTACAGTATTATGAGATTGAATTTAAGGGTGATTTGTATTCTTATTCAGGTCACCACTGAAATCGCAGTGATTTGTGTTTGCTAGCATGACCGACTTCATGGCCTTGTCCTATACTGGCTTTCCCCTTTGAGCAGGTAGCTAGACTTCGCCAAGTTGAAAATCGACAGCAACTTTGAAAAAACACACAATCAATAAAGATAATCAGTGTTAAACATTTACTGCCGCGAATGAAATGTTCTCACATGGCAAAATCCCCCAAATGTTTCAAGGTATGGTAACGGTCCACAGTCTACACGAACAGCGCACCTGGCATATCTAAATTATCTTCAACACAAGATGGGGTTCATAAGCAAGCTTACACGGTCAGAGTGCATCGAAGCAGGCCTGGTACCATAGCCTCATTGAGGCCAGTAAACGTGGATGAAAGTCCTTGAGAAGACCATTCCATATCCGCGGAGGTCTTGCAGCGTTTTTGGAGGATTCGGATATTGTCGTAAACTTCGCTCCATTTCATTCCAGACTTGCTGAATGGGTGCCAAATCAGGATGAAACATAAACCATGCTCTGTTTAAGACCCTGCTGACTGACTGACTGACTGAGTTTTGGTTTGACGCCGCTTTGAGCAATATTCCAGCAATATCACGGCGGGGGACACCAGAAATGGGCTTCACACATTGTACCCATGTGGGGATTCGAACCCGGGTCTTCGGCGTGACGAGCCAACGCTTTAACCGCTAGGCTACCCCACCGCCCAAGACCCTGCTGAATACGTTAAGCACCATGGAGACGTTCTGGTGTGTGAATTGGCCGTCTGGCTGAACCATACATTTTTATCTATTCCCTCCTCCTTGGCGGTGACGAGGTTGACTGCGTGTCATGGCATCGCCATAGCCAGAGACGTTGCTCATAATGTCACCCACAGGTTTATCGTTTACAGACTGCTGTTGAACATCTGTGATGGTCACTACATCTCTGGGTCGGTGGGGTAGCATGGTGGTTAAAGCGTCCGCTCGTCACGCCGAAGACCCGGGTTCGAATCCCCACATGGGGAAGAAGATGTTCAAGAAGATGTTCTGAAGGCATTTTGGTTTTATCACTAAAACTGTTCGCTCAAACGCACTCAGTGCATACTAGACGTATCGCCTGAACACACCTGGAGATGTTGCACGGGAAAAACGAATAGGTTTTCCATATATAAGACGGTGGTCAGCGATACACGGGGCATTCGCTCCTTTCTTCCATTCGGTGCTATTCGTTCCAGCTCGTGTTTAGGCATTTAGACTACGAATGACATTGTTGTTAGATGTGTAGGTTCAATTGGCTATTGTGGCGTTAGATTGTTGAACTTGCATTAGTATGTTTAAAGGTTAGGCAATTAGCGGTAGTTAGCGGGCCATTTCATGTCAAAGTTCATTTAGAACCACTTAAGAGAATCACGTTTAGTTCTTTGTAAATCATCCATAGTTTTCTCACTTATAATAGTTGTCACGTTTAGTTCCTTGTTTTAGGCCAAAAGGTTAAGTTCAAAAGTTTAGTTGATTAGGATTTCAGTTAATTTGTATAGCTCTGCCCAATCGTTTTATTTTCCACTGCGCAACATATATATATATAAGTTGCATTAATATTACTTTTTAAACTATTTTAATACACCAAGTATTTAATGACAAACGTTTCAGATGTTGTTCCTACTGCTAAGTGCGAGTATGATCCAGTAGAGATCCAGCAATCGTTTATATTGATGAAGACCATTTGCACAATTAATCACTTCGTATTTGTGTAATCCTAAACGTTAAGTGTTCGTTCAATTTGTCTTGATCAACAGAATTAGTGTCAAGAAATATTACTCCCGAGTTTCGTTAATCGGGAAAATAATTATCTTTCCAAATGTCATGCAGTACCATTTCTCTCATATGGAGCATGAATGATCTGACGTCCGTGTACAAGTGAAGTTGGTGATTAACGTGAGACACAGCCAGCACGATCACAAGGACCAGAGCGGCATGTGTAAATGGCGGTATTATGTGCCACTCTCCTAATGGATATTAACCAATGTCAGTTTTATTGCGTTTTTTGTATATTTTTTCACCAATTTGTTTCGCCTTATTAACTTGACCATTTCACATGGATGCGCGTGCTTCGTTAATGTTTAGAATGAAAGGTTTGCCAAATTGACGTATAAAATTCTCGGTTTTCTGTGATGTAATATAAAGTCTGTGATGTTCAATGGAACCTGGCAGGGACGGGGTATTCCGTGAGTTTCAAGGATGGCATGAAACAGTTGAGGAAAATTCAAAATGAAAGCGAGATTTGTGCTTAAAGGTGTGTGTTCACATACATCCATACGTGTGCCGTTTTGTCTTAAGCAATTACAAATCCCTTGACAACGAATAACAGATTCGAGCCCGATCCTGAAGCTTCACCTTCAAGGAAATGATGTTCTCGACTCCATGGTTCCAAACACCAGTTCCAGGAAGTTTACATCCTCTTGTATCCAGGGTATAATATCTTCATTCTGTTATAAACGGTTCGAATATTACTGCAAATTTCATCATTACTGCAAATTGAATCTTCTGGCAGTTGTGATTAAATGATTTTATGTAAGAGTTTTGTTTTCTTAAATATACTTTCATTCAGTAGTTAAAATGTCTTTATTTAAATGTTTTGTTAGTTTTAACACGTTGACTTAGGGTGAATATGACCATAGATATTTCCAAGTGGATAACGTTTTGTGCGGAACAGGATTCTGTGTGTTTCGTTTCCTGTACCAAGGGACTGATTCTGGTTTAGCTAAGTTACTATACTTCTATTCTCATTGATGCCGTAAGGCCAGATTGTGCACGCCATGTACATTTGATAGCTGTTGAGGGCTTAGTTAATTCGTGAAGAAATATAACTTTACAACAGAAGCCTATATGAAAACAGTTGGTTTTGTGAAACCTAGGGGAGGCATGTCAGTACACTTCCCGAACGAAACCCAAAGGAGAGAACCTTCAGAAATAAATTCTCGTTAACAGGGCGCGGGTTAAAAAGAAGAGCGACCAGATAATAAACCTCATTAAAGCAACTGTGAATTAAGTCATCTGAAAGAACTAGAACATGTTTCATAATGTGCTGCCATCTGTCGGTTGAAACACGTGATGTCATGTGAGTGGAAGACCGGAAATGTTTTGTACATGAGTCACTGCACATGAATAGGTTTCTTTTCATTATCCAAAATCTGAAAACCGTGCCCGTGTTTGCTTGTTGTTTACGTCGGACTCAGGCATTTCCCAGCTATATGACGGCGATCTGTACATAATCGAGGTTGGACCAGCCAATCCAGTGACTGACATCATGATCATATGTAACTGAGGTGTCCTGAATACATCAACTGTATCGACCCTGATCACAAGGATGCCGTTGTACAAGCGATGTTAGACCGCAACTCCCATACCTTAACATAGACTTCAGGTAGTCCTAGCGCTGATGGTGCCTTCTACAACGGTACCTTGATCTCGTTTGTCGCCTCTTTACGACAAGCATAGATTGGTGAAGAGATAAGCGATATGGATACCACGATAATTGCATTTTCGTTTTATCATGTATTCGAGTCGATTGTTTCCTTTCCACATTCTGCTGATCAGGCTGTTGATTTGTCACAGAAACATGTGTTGTCGTACACTAGATTTACCATACCGTTATCGTACTACTACTAATAATAAGGGTACTTATATTGCGGGTAAGGGTATATTATAATAAGGGTATATTATAATAAGGGTATATACTCCATACCACAAAGGGGCTTGCTCAAAGCGCGCACAAATGTTTAAAAACAAACACATAAAAAGTCACATGAATCAGTATCGTAGAAGATAGCAGTAAATATGAGCTTGGAGAGAGTTACTGTTTGTATCGACTGAAAAGGTATGTTTTGACGCTTGAACACTTGAAGGGATGGAGCTGTACGTAATTTAAGTGGAAGTGAGTTCCATAGTGCGGTTGCAACTGAAGCAAAAGAGCGGGCACCAAATGTCTTGAGGTTGAATGATGGAGGATCCAGCAGGTGTTGGTTACTGGATCAATTTGAGGTTGTAACAGTCCAGGATCTGTCTCACAACTGTCAGAATCCACCTAGAAGGCGAATTTTCCAGTAAAATGGATACCTGGCATTGTAAAATATCGACAGCCAGTCTTTGTTCTCACTTTTGAGTTAACGTTATCTCCTACTTTAGAAAATAATACATGATGAGTTTGACAAAAGCAACTAACAGAGTCATTGAACAAATGACGATGTCAGTGGATAAAGTTTTATTTGTTAGTATTTCCAAAGCCGCCATATCATTGTGGATCCCGGGTAAGAATTTAGGTCACCATTAATTTCTGTTTGTGGTGAAAAGGGGCTAAATGGATCCGGTGATCAGGTTCGGTGACTCCGATTGTGCGGATCGATGCTTCTGATGTCTATCACCGGATTATCTTACACATACTGGAAAACTTACAGAGTCGGTCATGTAACAACAATTCCAACTGCAGCGTATTACAACAAACAAACAAACAAACAAAGACACTACTATAACCCTATATATCGACTCAGACTCAATCCGCCCGAGATACGGAAGTCGAGTTTGAGCCCCTGGCTTTATTAGAAACAAAACAGGAATTGTGAAAAGTTCGTTAGGTCTAGTTTGACCTGAAGTTCATGTCAATTTAACCCTATCTGTATTACGATTTCAGATCAGCCACAATGAGCCCACGGGTCAGCCAGCTCCTCCTTTCTTTCAGTGTCTTCATAGCAACCGCGTGCCTTGTGACGTCGGCAGTGTTGCCTAGCGACGAATCTGAAAGCCTAAGTGTCATCGGTTTACCACAAGACAAACGGAACTTGCGAGAGGGTGAGTAGCGTCTTACATATTTAATTTCAAACGAAAACAGTTTGGTTGGTAATAGCTCGTCTGTAGCTAGTCCTGCAGGAAACAAGCGAATTATGCAGCTGTTAATGCAAGCGAATGTAGATGTATGGCATCATATCCCATTTGAGTAGATCGATGCTCATGATGTCACTCACTAGCTTGTCATTTGCTAAATCAATTGTTCACAGACCGCCGTCACGTGACTGGAGTCGTGTGGACAAATAACAAGCAAACATACAATACAAGCTATGCTTAACTTCCCCCTACACTGCAGTACACGGACTATATGGTTCCTGGCCAGATCTAGCTGGAGTATTGGTACAACAATACTATCGCACAATCTTAAATACTTTCATTGTGAGTACATGAGTGAGGTGTACGATCTCTTTGTGTATTATTGACAATACAGGACGTCGTGTTCTTGTATTTGAGGAAAACCGGAAGTGATAAAGGCCTCAGTCTTTTACCACGACTTTAATAGCAAAAACAAAACAAACAAACAAAACAAGAGAATACTGACAAATAAACAAGGAAACATATTCATGGCCAATGAGAATTGGAAGATGTAAGTAGGGTAGGATAATATTGTTTATATTTTTAGGGCAGGGCTAGTGTGAAGTATAAAACCAAATATAGCGCGAGAAAGAAGAAGAAATTTAGAATGTACCTTGACATTCCAGAATACCTACTGTATTGTTTCTGTTACGTTTGGGTAAAGTCACCTGGATACATTGCATATGCATTTCTAAAAGTTGGCTAAAACGGATCTGCTTAATCGATAACCCAATATCCCACTCATTACATTTACTTTGAGAATTTACCCATGTGACGAATCAAGACTCGTATCTCTTGAATGACATATACATATTGTCCATAAACGTCAGGCCCCACTTCTGTGAAGCAATGTTGAATGTGAACTACTTCACATCACCGCACTAATTCTTGCAGAACAGTAAGTAATCCTTTGTAGGACAACAATTTCCGTGATAACCATTATGGCATTAATACGCAGAATAGACCCGGCGAACCAACGTTTAGCCGAATAACAGAGTTCCAAAAGGCTCAAAGATTACACAGCAATATATTTGATACAATAATATACACCAACATCAATACCTGTTCCGTGCTTTTAAGTTAGGTTATATTCCCCCTCTATCGAAGACTGTGTAACGGCTATGGATCATTGTGCTTTAATCATTGATTTGGGGTTATTTTGTTAATCAAAGTTTCAGTGTTTGGTTCCATCATGGGTGGGCAGTCCCTACATAAATTTCCTTCTGTCGATTTTTTCTATCAGTTGCGTTCTTTCTTTACCTTCTTTTTATAAACATCAACTATGCGTATACGTAGTTACTGAATTTGTAACAGAAAGACATACGTGATTGTTTGACGCTGTGGTTGGGACAAAACAAAATAAGGAAATAGAAGCGACAGTACCCTTCCCACATCCATAAGAAATCTCCTGAGAGTCGTTGGTACAATTATGACTATGATGAGTATTACAGCTGTACGACGCTGTCTGTAAACAATCGAACCTGGACCAGACAATCACGTGATTGACACCATGAAATACAATGACAGAGCAGGTGTTTATGAATTACGACATTGTGATGAACGTATTACGTCATCTTGGATTGAAGTCTGTTTTAACTTTTAATTGAATGTTGAATATTATTATGTTTATTTTTGCAAACATTGCAGAGAAAGACGACAAAACCCCTTCAATTATCATACACGTGTAGCGGATAAACCCATTTTCTGATGTAGTGAGTGAGTGAGTTTAGTTATTCCAGCTATATGGCGGTGGTCTGTAAATAATCGAGTCTGGACCAGACAATCCAGTGATCAACAGCATGAGCATCGATCTGCGCAATTGGGAACCGATGACATGTGTCAACCAAGCCAGAGAGCCTGACCACCCGATCCCGTTAGTCGCCTCTTACGACAAGCATGGGTTACTGAAGATAAATATTCTAACCCGGACCTTCACGGATCGGGGATTATTTAACCCCAACATATATCTTTTAAGGGCAACTGACCTTGACCTTAGATTAGGGGAGACTATCCAAAAAGAAGTGAACGGTTGCCTTTTGCCGACTAAAACGGTGATCGGCTTGTTCCCACGTAGGGCCTGTAGAGTTTTTGTATTTCGATGTTTGTGCTGCCAACTCTGGAATGCCCATCTGACGTGGCAATAGTCTGATAACCAAAGAACTGTTATAAGACGAGTATATGGATGGCAACTTCTTCATTATTGTATAACACGACGTTTCTGGGCTACATCTTGCCCCTTTCTCGGGTGTTGACTGAACAATCTTCAGTTTTTCGCGTCATTATGCAGGGATTCAATGTGCACATGTTGTGGTAGATATTCTGAGAATTTTGTTAAACATGGCACGTCGCGTGCCACCATGCTGATGTCCTATGACCTTGACATTGTTTTTTTTGCCTTTCTTATCTACAGATTTGTCAGTGCATGCTTTGTTTTGGCCCCCACCTGGTGACATCACAGATTTTCAGCGGTCAGTTGATGTAATAATAATAATAATAATAATAATATGTGTATTTATAATGCGCTGAATTCCACACATAAGGCATGCTCAAAGCGCTACATATTTACAAATATTTTACAAAGCAAAGGTTATGCTAGAACGAGGGTGAAATGTTTGGAAAGTTAAGTTATAGATTGTAATATTTTCTGAAAAGATGGGTTTTAAGGGAACTTTTAAATGAGTCAATGGAGGGAGACATTCAGTCGGGAGTTGGTTCCCGACTCTGGTGTAATGTCCACCGCTGGTTTACCTTTCACTCTCCATGGAATCTGTTTCTGTGAATATTTGGGACTGATTACTCACGTTTTGAATTCCTTATAAACAACATTTATTTTTTGTGATAGAAAATATGATATATGAGAAAGGCATTCCCACATAATCTACTGAGTGAGTGAGTGAGTGGGGTATTTTCGATGCTTTCATCAGAATCTCACGTATGTGTATGGCTTGTCTACTTCAGGAACTGGGGTGTAACAAAGTAGTCACTGTAAACACGAATCCTACCGTCACAAGACTTCTGTTTACTTCAGTATGGGCTTTCAGTTATAGTCTGGTCGAAAACGTTGTGGCACCAGTTTTAATTGTAGTTCTGTGTCGGTAATAGAATAAATAAACAAAACGGTTATGGTTGAACTTTATAATACACCGACTGCATTCGGACATCAACTTGTCGACATCGAAGAGATTGTAGCTATTTTCTTCACCATTCCCGTACTATTTGTTTTGAATCACAATACCATCTTGAAAGAGCATGCGAGTGAATAACGTTTTACGCCGCAATAGGTTACAGCAATATTGCAGCAATAACGCGACGGGGAATACATCAAATAGAACCAGGGTATTCGGTGTGATGAAAGAACGTTTGAACAGCTCGGCATCGCCATCGCCATTGCGATGCACCGAAACTTGCTGAATCGTGTTTGCCTCATCTCACCGAATTTAGTTTGTAGATCGATGCTCATGCTGTTGATCACTGGAATGTGGCGTTAAGCAACAAATAAACAAACAAACGAACGAACAATATAACTACTGATTTCAATGGACATTAGATAAATTATTGAACTGTGAACCCTGGAACCTGACGTTGACGAACAACCACGACATCGGCTACCGATGACACTATCACCAGACCTGACCATCCGGTCCTTTTTGTCACCTCCTGTGGATCACCCGATACTCCATTGGATTCACTAAGTGTAGCGGTATATTGTTTCATTCACAGAGATGATTCTAGGGTGTAGCTGTGTGGTGTAGGACGATATATCTTACATTTATCTGACACACATCTCTTTGTTGCAGATATTTCAAAGATCCTTCTAAATGACATGAGGTTTCGGGATATGGAGGAAAGCGAAGAACCAAGTGAGTACACGGTGTTTGTGTCTCATCATTGTGTCTCTCACTGTATATGTTCCACATTTATTGGTAGTGAGGTTGGGATTCGACCCAGAGGCTGTCACTACCACACCAGTTTTTGTGTTCACTTCCTACAACATTTGGACTTTCCCCTGATGTTAATATATCGCCGAAATTTAATGTCGTCTTAATGAACTCAACATGATGACCTAAAGCCAGTTTTGATATGTGACTCAAGCGAGGGAGTAAGTGAATTGCTATTTAAGCCGCTTTTAGCAATATTCCCGCAATATCACGGGGACACCAGAAACGGGCCTCACACATTGTACCCGTGTGGGGAATCGAACCCGGGTCTTGGGCGTGACGAGCGAACGATTTAACCACTAGGTTACCCCATCGGTCTTTATGTACTCAGATATATCCGTGGACACATATCACACTTACTCACTCACTCTTGCCTCCACCTGCAAATTGTACACATGCATCACAAACGTCGAACTGCATTCTTCTGTGTAATTACGAAGCCCTATTTACAGAATTCTTTCTAATTTCAGTTGCCAAACGACAGAAAATGCTTGTCAACAATCTTGCCGCTCTACTTTCGGGCTTAAAGCAGCGTCAGGTCGAACCCAGCATGCGCATGCCCAGTCTGAGATTTGGCAAATAGGAGCCCGGATGTACTACAAGGCGGAGTTTCGATGTGTGGTCACTTCAGCACGTCTATTAAGGCCCTTAGTTAGCGCTGCACACTTGTAGGAGGGAGGAGCCCGTCTTGAGTGACACGGAAAAGCTTTCTATATGGTCCGGATGGACGAATATCTATATGGGGAAAATGCCATGTTGATGTGAATCGATGTTTTGGAATAAATATTTTTTGCTCTTTGAATATTGTCTATTGATGGATCTGAGTGGGCGCCATTGCAGGAAGATGACTGAAGACCTTTGTTTGGGTAACTGTTGGATTTAAGCTGCTCATTGACCTGGGGAATTATAACAATGATCAAACGGCAAATGCTTTCTAATGAACTCACCTTTCTTGACAATGCCCTCATAATGAATGTTATATAACGTATTGTACAACTTCGACACATTCCGCCTCTGTAATAGTTGATGCGTCACTGGTAAGGTGGGAAGGACCAATAAAGATCTGACGTTTTGTCAATGTGTTTCTTGTTCACATTTTTTACATCCATAAATTGTAACTGTTTTTCTATGTATCTGCCCGGGAGTATCGGCATTGAAATCAAACAGTTGTGTTTGAAGAGGCCTGTGTGACAGTCGTCTCTGTTTGATGTCATGCGCTGTGATGGCCACTTTGTTGAACATGTTTGAGAAGGCGATTTGTTTATTAAGGAAACCTGTTAAGGTAGTTGATCTAATTAATAAGCGATATGCTGAGAGGAAAAGGGAAAAGGGAATTAAAATACTTCAGGTAGAATAATAATATAAAAAGGACAACGATACCATCTTCTTCTATCACTCCAAATTCAAACTAATTTGAAAATGGATATTTTAGGGAAACACAAAATACGTTACACCACACTTAACACACGACATATCCAACTGGGACATACGTTGTACCACACTTAACACACGACATATTCAGCTGGGACATACGTTGTACCACACTTAACACACGACATATTCAACTGGGACATACGTTGTACCACACTTAAAACACGACATATTCAGCTGGGTCATACGTTGTACCACACTTAACACACGACATAATCAGCTGGGACATACGTTGTACCACACTTAACACACGACATATTCAGCTGGGACATACCTTGTACGACACTTAACACACGACATATTCAGCTGGGACATACGTTGTACCACACTTAACACACGACATATTCAGCTGGGACATACGTTGTACGACACTTAACACACGACATATTCAGCTGGGACATACGTTTTACCACACTTAACACACGACATATTCAACTGGGACATACGTTGTACGACACTTAACACACGACATATTCGGCTGGGACATACGTTGTACCACACTTAACACACGACATATTCAGCTGGGACATACGTTGTACCACACTTAACACACGACATATTCAACTGGGTTACACAACATGCAATGACTATTTCATTGAACAAAGTTGTGTAGTATTTTTTAAAGTTACAATGAGATAAGTTTGAAAATAACATATACACGAAAGCGAAGTGTTTATACTTAAGAGAGTGAGTAAGTGAGTTTAGTTTTACGCCGCTTAACATTAGTAATTTTACGCCGCTTTTTAGCAATATTCCAGCAACATAAAGGCGGGGGACACCGGAAATGGGCTTCACACATTGTACCCATGTGGAGAATCGAAACCGGTACTTCGGGGTGACCAGCGAACGATTTAACCACTAGGCTACCCCACCACCCCCTTCAGATCTGTTTGGTAATTAAATCGCAGATAAAAACCTGTACAAGACTTTAAAACCGGTAAGAAAGAAGAATTATTTTATTTGTTAGAACCATGATAATGCCGTATAATAACAACAGCGGGAGAGCTTGTTGGACGACGATAAAATGAGTGATGATGGCTTTACACCGCGTTAGCAATATTGCAGAATATCGCGGCTTAGGACATAAACAATGACTGTGGTGAAGAATCGAACCCTTGAATTTGACGTGGCGTGTCACCAGGATAGGAAGAACTATATCGTTTGAAAGTAATTAGTCAAACAGGCGTCAGTGAGTATGATGACAGGAAGTGACGTCACTGGCATGGCAGGTAGTATAATGCCTAAGCCTTCGCTCTGGGTTCCCGGGTTCGATTCCCAAAATTGGGACAATGTGCGAAGCCCACTCCTGGTATCCTCCGCCGTGATAATGCTGGGCTGTTGTTAAAACCACTGTGACGTATATGGGGCATTTAACCATCAGCACACATTATCTACAACGATGAATAGACATTTTCAGCTTCATCTTGAACGTGTAGTTTTTTTTCAAATCTCAGAAATGCCCATTTCAGCGAGTTCAGATTGATTTGTACAAGGTTTCTTGTCTGTCTACTGATATGAAGAATGCTTTAGCCGAGTGTGTTTATTGCGTTGTACATAATTTATGTTAGGAGAAACTATTTACCTGTCTGAAATGTGATATTTGGTGAGAAACTACACGAAGATATCACAAAATAATTTGTTTGATTTACTTGATTTCATTCCGTGAAGAGGTATACAATGTCTAAAAGAATCTCCATATCAATTGTATCGTGGCATGACATGCAGGCATGTTGGTCCATAGACACACCTCAACACACTGGGAGGACCTTGTCTATCACACTGTTATCAATAGTTAACAGTGAACAAGAGGGGCTGTGGGGTAGCCTAATGGTTAAAGCGTTGGCTCGTCACGCCGAAGACCCGGGTTCGAATCCCCACATGGGTACAACGTGTGAAGCCCATTTCGGGTGTCCCCCTGCCGTGATGTTGCAAGAATATTGCTAAAAGCGGCGTAAAACTAAACTCAGTCAGTCAGTCAGTGAACAAGAAGACGAACATCCATGTATGGTCTTTGAAACTGTACACAACAGTGAGAACGAGTGAGTGAGTGAGTGAGTGAGTTTAGTTTTACGCCGCACTCAGCAATATTCCAGCTATATGGTGGCATTCTGTACATAATCGAGTCTTGATCAGACAATCCAGTGATCAACAGCATGAGCATCGATCTGCGCAATGTAAACCGTAGTTGCACGCGTTTCCATTGTTTGACATCTTAAACCAAGTCATGACCAACTCGTGTGACCCGTTAAATAACAAAAGTGTGCTCGGTGTCACATGTACTATGTTTTCCCATTTCATATACGTTATAAATAATGTTTTTGATACAGGTTTTCACATAAATCTGTGGACACATGTGGGCTAGGTCACCTCATATCCATGTCCCACAATGCAGGTGGAAATGTAAGAACCGCTACTCATACTAACGCCAAATGATCATTTATGTTTCTATAGTAACGTGACAGTTTATAATAACATCGACTCGCTTAATAACATGCTGACAATGATTATACAACTGTCATATGATTATGATGGCAATACCATCTTCTCCTATGGTATACATTCTTGTAATTACCATTCCATTATTATTGCAATTACTTATTACTGATTATTCTAAGGCTCAATTATGTGCTCATTTTTGCAACATAAAACCATTTATTGTGTTTTCGAATTCTGTTTCCACCCAATTATGTTTCTTGGTGTGTTAGCACAATACCCTTGCTGGTGGCTAACACAGAAGTTGTAGACGCTGGGCCTCCATCACCTGGGCCCAAGAGTAGCAATGTTGTGGTGCATATATGAAACGAAGCACAAGGTTACTAAAACGTGAGAACGTGGGGTAAAGGCAAGAATTTGATGGATGTCAACTTCTTCCTTGTCATGGACACGTTGAGGAGAATATTCTAACTTCTACTTCTCCTTCATATATATATGTGTGTATATATGTATATATATATGTATGTATGTATATGTATATATATATGTATGTATGTATATATATATATACATATATATTTGTGTCATATATATGTATATATATATATATATATATATATATATATATATATATATATATAGGGGGCGTTCAAAGACTCAGCTTGGGGTAACCTTGATCTGAACATTCAGAATGCATGTGTAACACTAGAAGTACCACGAAGTTGTATAACGGTAACCTTGATCTGAACATTCAGAATGCATGTGTAACACTACAAGTACCACGAAGTTGTATAACGGTAACCTTGATCTGAACATTCAGAATGCATGTGTAACACTAGAAGTACCACGAAGTTGTATAACGGTAACCTTGATCTGAACATTCAGAATGCATGTGTAACACTAGAAGTATCACGAAGTCGTATAACGGTAACCTTGATCTGAACATTCAGAATGCATGTGTAACACTAGAAGTACCACGAAGTTGTATAACGGTAACCTTGATCTGAACATTTAGAATGTACGTGTAACCCTAGAAGAACCACCAAGTCGTATAACGGTAACCTTTATCTGGACATTCAGAATGTACCTGTAACACTAGAAGTACCACCAAGTTGTATAACGGTAAATAATTTCTTCAGGCGTGTCTATATAAATGTTCAAGCGATGCCATTGTCACAGTATCTGCCCAGTGTTCAAACACGTCAGGCGTAACATTTCACTTAATGAACAATAGCTTATATTTAGAGTGTTATACATCACCGTTGATGGTTATGTTTCACTATTAATGTTTCCATCAAAACCAACTGTGTCCTGAAACATGGTAAACGAACACACATTTCCTATGATTCTCCCAAAGTCATTGAATCATGGCACTCGATACTGTAGAACGTCAGTGAGTTAAAATGTCTCGATAAATGCCACTGGACTTAAACAACAGATCGAAATACAATAATCAATGGGGAATATAACGTCCTTGTGTTATCCCCCTTGCCGCTGGTGGTTCTGGCTATGCTTCCTTGAGAAAAATAAAGAGCTACTCAGATGGCCTGCGTGGTTATCATTTAGAGACTGTAGAATGACAGTGTCGTGTAACGAATGTAAAGGGGATATCAATAAATATACATGTATGTCATTTAGTCTCATGATAACATGCTATGGTATCGTGACAAACGCACCATGCATACTATCACTGCTAGTTACAGCCCAGTCAACTGAACTGTCAATTACACTCATTATAGGGGCGGTGGGGTAGCCTAGTGGTTAAGGCGTTCGCTCGTCACGCTGAAAACCCGAGTTCGATTCCCCATATGGGTACAATGTGTGAAGCACATTTCTGGTATCCCCCGACGTGATATTACTGGAATATTGCTAGAAGCGGCGTAAAACTAAACTCGCTCACTCCACACATTTTAGGCTAGGGGTCGAATTTCGAGTAGGATGTGAGTGCCTGTACAAACCATGGTGCCGTTGTACAAAACCCTCTTAGGTGATCGTAACGTCCGTATCGTAACATAGACACTGACATAGAGCTGAGGCTGCTTTGTACAGCAGCGCCCTGTTTCTCCTTCAACCTGCTGGTGACGGGCGAGTGTGGCTCAGCCGTTTACGGTGCCTCAATTCACTGTGCAGAGTTGCATCCCTTGGGTGTGTCAAAGCCCTATGAGCGTGGGTTTGAATCCCTGTTACCCCAGAAAATAATTTTTAGTGATTTGT